GTCCACAATTTGTGTACCATACTTGTGCAATACCATTAATTTGAAAGTGTAAAACCAAAATTAATGACATGTGAACAATAAAACAATGTTGCATTATCGATATATTAGTGTTTGTATTTCAATATTACATGTTATATGCGTTATATTATTTGAATATTTACATTGGTAGAGTATATGAATGCTGCACGATATTTGATTTAAGTGTATCAGCGATGATTTTCTATTTTTGAATCAAAATCTTTTTCAGTCACGTAATAAAATTTATTATGCATTGTAATAATATTCTAAATGAGTAGATCCACTAACCTAATCGGAGAGGATTTTGATCCATTTCATGCTCAACTTGTTAACCTAAAAGGGCAAAACGAAATTTAGATTAGTTGTTTATTGTAGTACAATTTTTAATTTTAGGTCTGAGGAAATTAGACTATTAGGCAGTGGGCATTGGTCGGCCTTATATAAAATTGGATCATCATTACCAAAGAAAAATATGATTAAAAATGAATGACACATGGCAAGATATTGCAGCTTTGGAGGCGCACATTAGCCCCTGGTGGACCTTCAATTATGCCAACCCTTCAAATTCAATGCACATTGTCATATGAGCATTGGATTATCTAGCTTTCTTTATGATTATACAAGCTTTGGCATATACATACATTCACAATAAATATATATATATATATATAGATATAAGTTAAAAGAATATTAAATTGCAAACGCATGATCTCAACTTTGGGAGGTGTCATGCATTTCACTTTGGTGGTTCGAGGGAATAAGCTACACCTTTTTATATAGGTAACAGAATTTAGGATTTAGGTCAGCTCTCTATAGAGTGATCCTTACATAAAGTTATTTTGTGCTCTAACAAGTGTAGTAATGTTGTGCCCCGGGGGCTTGGCTCAGTTGGTAGGGGCTTGGCACTGGTTCACACTAGGTCAGTGTTTGATTCCTGCCAATCCCATTATCACCCCCGATTTACCCGGTGTATCCTTGGGGCGAGACTCTGCACCCCCAGGTTTGTAGCTAGTTCGGGACCCTACTTAGGTGAATTCCTGGTGCTAACTAAAAAAAAAAGTGTAGTGATGTTGTGACCTAACAGATAAAAGGTTACATAATTTGCAAACAATCGTGTTCTGTGACATACTCTTCCATTTTTTGCGAGTCAAGATTTTTCAAACACGACACTTATTATGAGTCACGTTTTTTCAAACACAACACCTATTGTGGGACGGAGGGAGTATATACTTTCAAATAAAATATCACATGGTTTACAAACAACAAATTAAGTATTGTAATATATATATATATATATATATATATATATATATATATATATATAATATGCTTCCATAAACTAATACTTAATTTTATAAATTCATTAATGTTATGTTGGGTAGCATGTTCCAATTCCAATTCTAGTACCAATTCTATATTACATAGAGTATATCAGATGGTTGAAATTAAAGTAGTCCAAAACAATATGTAAACTTGTCTCCATGGTATCAATTTCAAACTTTATCGAGCAACTTGCATGGTCTCAATTTAATAGCTTAAAGTTAAGGATCGAAATTTCAAACTTTATCCAAATCCGTGACAAAAAAGTACGTTAATTCAGTTTTTATATAGAAATTCAAGAATGTTGAAAACAGGAGTTTTTATAAAGAATTATGCTAGACTATTTTGAAAAACAAGGTATATTTCTTAATTCAATTTTTAGAAAATGTGTCTCAAAGTACTGTCAATTTAGATAAAATTTCGAACTATTTTTTGTTTTTTAGTTCTCTAATAATAGAATTTTAGAAAAATACTAAACCAAAAAAACCCTTGAAATTTTTAGATGTCCAAACGCAGAGTCTTTTTCCAAATTTCACAAACTAAAGAGGTTTTTTTTTTTTTTTTTTTTTTTTTTTCTATTGACTATATACTATATTGACATATAAAATGAAAAAGTGCAGATGTTGTACAAATGAAAGATTTGAAAATTAAGTAGTTTTGATTTCAAGATAGCCATATTATGCTAACAATAAGTCAAAGTCTAGCTCCACAATAGATTTTTATGCTAAACTCCAAATCATGAAACAACCCTTCTCTCTTTCCCAAATTTTTGATCCATCCTTTTTTATATATTTTTATTTTAAAACTGTTACTTTTTTGGTTGGCGAACAGTGACAGACTCAGAAAATTTTGTAAGGGGTGCGCCCTTGTAATTTGTGGGACAAACTTATATAGTGGATTCATTTTTGTAATTTCAATGGGATTTTAGTCATAATAATAATTTAGTAGGACAAATTTTAATTTTAGTGGGGGCAATTTTATAAATTTTTAAAATTTTAAAGTATAAAATAAAATAATAAAAAAAGAAAAAGAAAAAAAAGAATTCAATGGGAGCAAATTGTAATTTTAGTGGAGACAACTTCATAAATTTAAAAAAAATTAAAATCTGAATCGGAAATATAAAAAATCTAGTACCCCACTAGGTCCCTGTCCGTTGGCGAGTCGATTGAACGTGAATAATCTAAAATTCTTGAATAATTTGAGGATTAAATAAAAATTAAGTCACTAACATAGTACATAACTAATCATTGTTCATTTATTTAATATCAAATGACACATCCGAATATGCCCTAAAGAATTCCTATAGTTGGAGAAAGGACAGACGACAAAGCCATAGTTGTAGAATTTCCTTTTTGTCAAACATGCATTTCACTAACCAAAACTACAATGGGAAAGGACATGTTTCATTTCAAGTGTTTCAATCAAATCAAATTATGTCATTTTCTTAATTCATTTCTATGCCCAAATTTATTTATTTATTTATTTTTTGGCAGTTATAATTCCCATTTTCTTTGATTAAGCATCTTTTTGTGTGAACTAAAATTCATATCAACGCGTTCCCACTAGCCTAGGAAAGAAAAAAAAAATTATATAATTATAATATACAAAAATAATCTCTTGCTTGGAGGGTAAGAAATTTTTTCTATATGATTTAACAAAACGATGATAGTTAAATACTTAAATATCATCATATCCAAAGGTCTTGATGTGGCTTTCTCACTGGGAAGCAAGTTATATATATATATATATATATAAAGTTTTAAATTGTCTTTTCATTTATCTTTTTCTTTTAGGACCACATCACTGTTCAATCTGTTCATTTTAAATGTTCAATCTATTCATGTTAAAGCAACGCGGTTATATGATTAAGACTATATATATATATATATATATAAAGGCTGCAGATAATCGCTTCATTAATTTCCTCAAGCGCTCTACCTTCTATTTTACTTAAAATAAAATTAAAAAAAAATTCTTGAATCATAGAATATTTAATTCTTAAATTTTTAATACCAGAATTGTCTTTCTCTAATTCTTGAATTTCAATTCATTCTTCTATCATTTTCTTTAGTTTTAGAATTAAAGATATGAACAATACAAGCCTGAATTTTTGGTGAATAACATTGATCTCCTTGCTCTAAAGATGAAGAGGAATAATTTATATAGATACGTTGTAAATATATGTGCGCTATATTATATACCACTTAAAAGTTTTTAATTTAATCACGTAATATAATTTTAATATTCTCTTTATAAATCGAACAAGCACTTTTTTTTTTTTCTATTTCGGCTTGCTTATTGAACTATACGACGTAGTTTCCATTTATGTAAAACTAGAATTTCCTTATTTTCAATTCAATTAGAGATACCTCAGAGAAAAATGGAAAAAAATCAATTAAAAATTATTATTACTGTTTTTTGGTAAGTGATTAAAAATTACTATTTATTGTAGAGATTAGTTTGCTTTCAATTAAGGTTAGTTTCTATTTAAGTAAAATAAATAAAAATGCCTCACCTATCACCATATTTGGTTTGATAATTTGCATTTCTCTTTAATATAGACTCCATAATTAGAACTTTTGAAAAAAAAATAAAAAATAAAAATTGATTGAAGGTTCAAGCACTCAAATAAATAAATAAATATATAAATATATATATAAACACTTAGAAAATAACTTAGAAAAATTAAAAAATAAAGTAACTAAAATAAATTTTAATTAGGGTAATTTAATGGCACAGATAAATTAGAGTAAATTACGTGGGACCCAACATATCTGCTCTTTTGCAACAGTAAATGCTGCCAGCAAAATCTGTAGCCAACAGATAGATATATGAGTTGTATGTAGTTGTACTAGTACATATCATATTTAATTATGGAATGTACCCATTATGGTTGCGTTTCTCAAGAAGATAATACCCACGTTTGGGGCAATAGAAAATCTGAATTGATTTTCCAGGAAAAGTACCAAGTTGGAAGATACTGTGGACCAATTCAATATCCTGCTTATATTAAATAGGTAAGTATATGAAGATGAAAAAGAGTGATAAACTGTGCCCAATAATATCCAGCACATGTTGAAACAGTCTCAACCTGGACACTATTATGGTCACATTAAACTAAATTTCACATTTTAGGCAAGTTTGTTTTCATTTTTTTTTTTTAATTTTTAATTTTTTTTTTTTTAACTCTAGTTTTGGATATGGTTTTCAGAAAAGTGGTAAATTTGGAAATTGTTTTCTACTCCATTTTGTATGTCTTTTAAAAATAGAAAATTATTCTAGAAAAATACTAAACCGAAGAACTCAATAATTAATTAACTTTCTGTAATTGCATTTAACCAAAAGTTTGTTTCTTTTATAATTTTCAAATGAGTTTTGCCTTCTTATATTGGTACACTTCTTTTATACAATGTATTTTAGAACATGTTTTGTTATTTTTAGTGAATTTTTTAATCCCGATTTCCAATTTCAAACCATTTTTTTTTTCTTTTCTTTTCTATTTTTTTTTTTTCGTTCTCTTTTCTAGAAAAACAAAGAAAAGTAAAATAAGCAAATATAGTAGGTGAGATTTCAAATAAAAAATAATACAGGGAGTAACATGCAAAAATACTTTCCCAACCAGAAAAAGAGACGTTGGTTCTTAGGTATATGTTCACTGCCGGCCCCTCTCTCTCTCTCTCTCAATCTCTCTCTCTATATTTATATATATATAATACACACATCCAGAGTCCTCACTCCCCCATATTTCTATTGAGTTTCTGTCTACTCTATGTTGTAAATAATCCAAGGATATTCAATGTCTATATAAATTCTATACACGCACAAAGTCACAAAAGATACATCATCGTCTTTCAATTTCTAACAAAATTTCAAATTTGTTGTTATTATTTGATCTGATCCACACTAACCCCACAAAAATTTTCCCCAACCACCAACCATCATCACTCATTTCCAAATTCAAAACAAACACAAACCCATCTTTTTCTTCTCTCTCACTGTATATATATATATATATTCCTGAATCAAACCTCTCAAATCAAATCAATTCAATTCAATCCACAAAAATGGTGGTGAAGATGATGAAGTGGCGTCCATGGCCTCCACTCAGTTCCAAGAAATTCGAAACAAAGATTTCGATTCGACGGCTCGAAGGCCTGCGTGTATCGTCGGAGGCTGTGGCGGAGAAGAGAGTGGTTTTTGAGGAGTTTTCGAGGCTGAGTGTGGAGATCAAGTGGAAGGGTTCGAAGGGCAAAGCTCTGAGGTCTTTGAGGCGGAGTGTGAAGAGGAATTTCACAAAAGAAGAGGGTTTTCAGGACCATGGAGTCGAATGGAACGAGGAGTTTTCGAGTGTTTGCAGCTTTTCAGAGTACAAGGAGGGTGTGTTTCATCCATGGGAGGTCGCATTCACTGTGTTCAATGTGAGTTTTGAATTGGGTTTTGTTTAGATTCTTGATTTGTTCAAGTTTATGTTAAATTGGGATTGAGAGATGAAATTCCTTTGTTTGTTTCTTGAAAATTGAAAGAATTAGACCCAGAAAGAAAAATACAAAACAAAACTTAACGGAGAATTATGTATTTTTTTTTTTTGGTTAATTGATGTGAGCTTTATTTTTATTTTTTTGTTGGCAGTCAGACCAACATATATGCAAGATTGATTATTTTTTTTTTGGGAAGACTTTTCTAGATTTCTCCGCTGCCAAGCGAAAAGGGGTTTGACTTTAGATGAGGGAATATTTATAATTATATTTATTGTGTAATAAATTTTTGTTCATAGGTTTGATGTATGTGTAGGTTTGGTGATTCTTTTGGGGGCTTCAGTGAGAATGGGTTTATGTTCTCATAACTGCTTTCTGGAATTTTGATTTGTGTGGGTCCTGGGGTTGTTTTCGATGGGTATTGCGATCTAGAACTTTTGACTTTGAGGTTCATAAATTCTGAAAATTTATCAAATCTCTACCATTATTTTTCTTGTTATTTTATCGAATTATTTTATTGCTTTGGAGGCTGTAACAGAATCAATAAATTAATATTACCAAAAAAAATTAATTTATTAAATTTTGTTTTCTTTAGGCTTTATTCATCTAATAAGAAACAGTTCTTGGAGAAGTTTCAGAAAATTTTCGGTCTCTATTTTAAGGCTCCATTTATGTAGATGGATACTCTTATGAGCTTGCTGAAAATTCAGCACCCAATTTTTTTTTTTCTTAATTGGTAGTCACACGCACATGCCTCCACCGAGGCTCGGACCCCTGATCTCCCTTTTGGAAGTAGGAGTCTGGTACAACTAGACCACTTGCATTTTGGTTTCAGCACCCAAAAGAAATTCACTTTGTCGGTAAGGATTTCTATCTTAATAAATGGAACCTGCTGAAAAATTCACATTGATGAGGATGATGTTGGTTTCACTTATCAAATTCCTTTTAATAATGTTTTGTATGTCATCATTTGGGAGTTTCTTCCTGATGTTTACTAATTTTTCTTTTCTAAAATTATAATTGTTGTTTTGTTCTATATTTCATGTCCATAGATCAGTGTCAGACTTCCACATTATGTTTTTTAATACCTAAATGTGATAATTAGGAATATATATATATATATATATATATTATTGTAGAACTGTGCCGAAAGTTTTCAGGATTTCATATTTTTCTTCAGGCATCCTGACCCACCAAAGCTGAAACTTGTGGTGATAGTATTATATTTGTAGGACTTTAAAAATAAATTAGTAAATTGTTTTCTACCCAGCTGTTTGTTTATAAGGGAGTAAATATTACTGGTGTATTCTGTTTTTTATTGCTCCTTAATCTTGTAAATTGTTGTTTTAGACTTTATATAGCATAGGAACTGAAGCAGGTTTGGTTACTTGTTTATAGATTTGTCTTGAGGCCCGAGTCTTGTACTTTGTTAAATTATGTAACCGTTCTTATCAAAAGATATCACTAGGGTTACCTTCCATTCCAATATAAGATTGTGTTAAACTGGATATAACTTATAAATAAGCATTATACATTTATTCAACAATTCTAAATTTCATTGCATATCCCGCCATTTTTGAGGTATTTTTTCAATATTATGTTTGGCCCAATGATAATCATGATTTCTTTATTTGAGTAACCGGAACGAGGCTGATTCACTTTGTTATTATTCAGGGCTCGAACCAAGGACCAAAGAACAAACTCCCTGTTGTTGCAAGTGCATCATTGAACCTTTCAGATTTTGCTTCCACGGCGGAAGGAAAGGAGCTTGAAATCAGCATTCCTCTAACTGTCCTCGGTGCCAGTGTTGAATGCAGCCCTTCACTTTTTGTAAGTGCCTTTTCAAACGGTTTTGAGTTTGTAGTTTTGTTTATTGCTATTACCTTCAATCTCTTTAAGATTGCATTTCTAATCCCTCTTTTGTTATCATATGCATGTGTTCACTGAAACCAAGTTCATCCTTTATGCAGATATCTCTCAGCCTTTTGGAATTGAGAACTGCCCAGGAACCTTTAGAGATAGTGCAGAGATCAGTAGCATCTGTTCCAGTGTCACCCAGTTCTGGAGAAGCTTTATCATCAGAGAGAGATGAACGTTCTGCCCTTAAAGCTGGTCTGAGAAAAGTAAAACTCTTCACTGGTTATGTATCAGCTCAAAGAGCAAAGAAGGCATGTCGTGAAGAAGAGGGCAGTGATGGAAAGAGCTCTGTCAGAAGCGAGGATGCCGAGTATAATTACCCCTTTGACACAGATTCACCTGATGATCTGGATGAAGAGGAATCAGAAGAAGGAAAGAAGGATTCTAATGTTCAGGAGTCATTCAGTTATGGGACATTGGCCCATGCAAAAAATGCTGAATTGTTTTGCTCAAATGCAAGCAATAGTGAAGATGAAGGTTTGATCTACTATAGCAATCGGGAATCAGACAAAGTGCAGACCCTGCAGCAGACTTCGAAGCGCAGCATCCTCCCCTGGAGAAAGAGGAAGTTGAACTTCAGATCTCCTAAAAAAAACAAAGGAGAGCCATTATTGAAAAGGCATTACGGAGAAGAAGGTGGAGACGACATTGATTATGATCGCCGACAGCTTAGTTCCTCTGACGAGTCTAGTTTTGGGGTATACCGTCATCCTTCCCTCCTCACAGTTCCTTCCCAAGTTTTTGATAATTTATTTGCAAATGGAACTTTCAATATTTTCTGTGATAAGTCTCTAAATTATCTGTTACATAAGGCCCTTGATTTCCTTTTATAATTTTGTCATAGCATTTGCCACTATAAGAATGCACTTATTTGACACTGGCCTTGCTGAATTGAGTCGTCTCTGAATTTTAACTAGTCTGCATTATCAAATACAAAATTTACCCATAGTATTTGAGGTTACCATTTGAAATTGTTTTCTCCTAATTAAAATGAGGACGAACATGATAGTTTGTTCTAGCTATTGTTTGAGTTTCGTGTATGTAGTTATATTTTTACACACTGGTTTTTTCTCATTTCCTCATTTTTGTTTTAATTAAACATCATTTTTTTTATATTCTAAAATCCAATCTCAATCTTGAAGCAGCATAAAAGTGAAGAAGATTCAACTACAAATCGGTCATCAGTTTCTGAATTTGGAGATGACAAATTTGCTATAGGCAGCTGGGAAAACAAAGAAGTAGTAAGCCGTGATGGACACATGAAGCTTCAAACCGAAGTCTTCTTTGCATCAATTGATCAAAGAAGTGAACAGGCTGCAGGTGAGAGTGCATGTACAGCCCTGGTCGCTGTCATTGCTGATTGGTTCCAAGTCAATCATGATGAAATGCCCATCAAGTCAGAACTTGACAGCTTGATCCGAGAAGGTTCGTTCGAGTGGAGGAATCTCTGTGAAAACGAGGCCTATAAAGAGCGGTTTCCTGATAAGCACTTTGACCTTGAGACAGTCCTTCAGGCTAAAGTTCGCCCACTATCTGTACTCCCAGATAAGTCCTTTATTGGGTTCTTCCATCCAGAAGGACTAGAAAAGGAGGGAAGTTTTCACTTCCTCCATGGTGCCATGTCCTTCGACAGCATCTGGGATGAGATCAGTCGTTTTGGGTCAGAGAACTCTGGCAAAGATAAACCTTTGGTCTATATTGTTAGCTGGAATGACCATTTTTTCATCTTGAAGATCGAACAGGATGCATACTATATCATTGACACATTGGGGGAGAGGCTTTATGAGGGCTGCAACCAAGCTTATGTCCTGAGATTCGACAAAGACACAACAATACATCGTTTACCTGAAGAGACTCAACCATCAGCTGAAAAAAGTGCCGGTGAGAAGGAGCAGGAGGACAAATGCAAGGACACAGAGACCGAAGGGACACAGATTGTCATCTCAAATGAGTTGGAAAACAGTGGAGAAGAACTAGTTGTGTGCAGTGGCAAAGAGTCATGTAAAGAGTATATTAAGAGCTTCTTGGCCGCCATTCCTATAAGGGAATTGCAAGTTGATCTGAAGAAGGGTTTGTTGTCGTCAACGCCTCTTCACCACCGGCTACAAATTGAATTCCACTATACCCAGTGTTTGCAGCCTGTGGCTCAATTTTCCTCGCTGGAATTGACTGCTGATGTACCGGCACTGGCAGTATCTGCATGATACCATATAGAGTTCTCTTAACTCCAGGAATAACCCTTCCGTCACCCTTCTGTCACTTTTGTTGTGTTTTCAGATGAATGAGTCCAAATGGAAAAGCTCATTTATCTGTTTTCCTCCTCCTTCCTTTATACATAAGCATCTGACATCTTCCCTAATTCTTCTTCATGAATCTTGATGTATATGACTGATCTCACTTAAAGCTTTCTTATAGTTCACTTGTTTGTTACTTGGCATTAATCTAACTTGCCATATAATTTGCATTTGTATCTCACTATACTGACACTGATTGTGATGTTTATATATTGTCATAAAGCTAGTGTGAAGGCTAGCAAATCTATTTTTTGGCAACTTGGGAATGAGATTGAGCGTCTGCAGGATACACATACTGAAGAATAAAGTGGATATTCATTTTAGTCCCAGCATCACAGCCACTTTCTTGGTCCAAACTACCCCCAATAGCTTGTTTGTTACTATAGATGTACAATTATTTTTAAAATATGTTATTTTATTTTTTATCTTTTCATTAGTTTCAGAAAGCCTTAAAAAATGAAAAATGTATCCAATTCAATTATTTCACAAATATTAACAATAACTAATACATGATAATAAAATACAATATCTAATTTAAAATAACAAATCTTAATAATATCCAATAATAAGTATAAAATAAAATTTACTAAGACAAAAACGACACTACCTCCGCTGAGATTCGAACTCCTGACCACCATTTGAGAAGTAGGAGCCTTATACTGCTAGGTCACAGGCCTGTTGATAATACATCATGTATTTAACATATAGTATATTATATTCCCAGACTGAAATTAGTACTGTGGTGTGAGACGTCGACAACATCTCCATGTTTGTAGTCTAGGGTGGGTCCTGAAGGAATCCTACCTAAGTGAGTTCCTGGTGCCAATTAAAAAAAAAATATATATATATATATATATATATATATATATAGTATATTATAATAAATCAAAAATATTAAATAATATATCCTATATAAAATATATGAAGCATTATAATGTTATAAATTAATTATAATTTAATATTTATATATAATATAATATATATGTATTTACATATAATATAATATAGATATGGTATATAATAATATAAATTAAATAAAATTATAAGTATATAATAGTTAAAATAAGTAAAAAATAAATAATAACTCATAAATATTATTGTCTCAAAAAATATTTTACTCTATTATATAATATATTATATATTAAAACTATCATTTTTATTAAATAAAATAATTTATATTATTATATAATATATTATATGTTAAAAAATATTTTAATTAATATATAATATGTAGCATTAATATATAACATGAATAATGTGGATTTTGTTTGAAATGAATAGAGTTTGTATAATAACAATATTGAAAATGTTTTTACGCTACAGTACCGAAAGTAGTAAAGACGACTTTTTTATGTTTCTTCTTTTCTTCATTAAATTAAAAAAAAAAAACGTTTTCGATTATATAAAAACAAAACACATATTATTAAACATGATTTTTGTTTTTGTTTTGCCTTTTTAGGGGCTGACAACAAAAACAAGAAATGTTTTCTATTAGTGGACGCAACCTAAATTTAAAAAATAAAAATAAAAACTCTACTCGGTTCTAAGGAAAGATTGAAGAAATTGTTTAAACTGTTGGCAATAATATTGATTTCCTTTGTTTCAATTTCTCCAAAGAAAAATAAATAAATAAAAGGACAGTTTAGAGTGTAAAAAAAAAAAAAACATATAAATGAGAAGTAAAAAACCTTTATATGTTTGGAGTGTTGTTGATAGTCTCACAAACACCCACTGTATCACAATCTTTTGCTACTTACCTATTTTTTTTTTTTTCTACTTCTGCTTTGAATAGTTGTGACTGAGCTTAATATTGATCCATTATCTAATAATTCCAGTTGAATAAATTCTCTTTTGTTAGAAAGAGTACTAGTAAAAAAGGTTTTAAAAAATAAATAAATAAAAATAAATAAATAAATAAAGTTAACTTTTATAGTGAAAAGGGTACTTAAGGAATTATACAATAAGGGATATGCATTAACGAGTTTATGAACCTTCTTGTCATTCACTTTAAACAAAAAAGAAAAGTGCAATGCAATTGGATCTGATTAGTTATTTAATACCCCAATTTGTTAACCTATCAGTAGACTGCGGATTCCTTATTTATCAATTTGTAACCGAACCGTAAGACTAAAAAATCAATCTAATGTGCACTGATCGGATCGATTTTACGGATTAACGGATCAAATGAACACCTCTACATTTTTATAGGGTTTATTTCTATTTTATGCTTCGTTCGGTAAGAAAGAAAAAAATTGGATGGAACAAAAATAAGAATAATGGATGAGACATCCCTAGTGAAGGGACCGTGTCCTTCCTTCTTTTTGTTCGATTGGATAAAAGTAAAGAAAATAAGCTTACTATTTATTCTGTTCATTAAGAGAAAAGGAATGAGGGAGTTTTAATTTAGGATACTAGTAATTTAGTGTGTTTGTATAATTTATGATAGTAGAAGATGAATAATGACTCATCTCTCTTGTAATTTATTAACTCATTGTTTCATCTTTATTAAACGGAAAGAGTTTATTTCTTCCTTCATATCTTCTCTCCCTGTATCTTCCTTCCTGTATACCGAATAAAGTGCAAAAATTGGACTGACCCGTAATTTTTCCTTTTGAATGCTAAATGGTCATGTGGCCTTGCTAATATTTTTGGGAACATGAGGAAGAAAAAGAATGACTAATATAAAAGGCAATAGAGGATTCTTATCCTTATTCCATGCAAATGCAAAATATCTCGTTGATTTATATTTCTTACTATTTGGTCCAATTTGTGATTAGAATTCCATTTCTTGAGCACTTTCAAATACAATATTATCGGAAAAGTTTGTAGACAATTATAAAATGTTGCATGGAGGAAGGAGAAATATGAAGAGTTTTGTAGATTTGGAGGAATTCTAGAAGGGTAGGGAGTTTTATAGAGTTTGTAAATACATGAAACTGGAAAACTAAGGGTAATAGATCTTATCCATGGGATAGTTGTTCACTTGGAGTTGGATATCCTATATAAGGAATGTTGGTAATCGAAGTGATAAGAGTGCTTCAATAACTGGCCGTTACGGATGTGAATACAAATATTAGGAATGAAGATCTACTACTCTCTAAGAGCACAAATATCATATTTATTTTACAAGATTTGGATCAACTTTCTTATTTCTTACTAACGGTATCCGAACGCAGCTTAAGTGCATTGTATGTGGTGTAGTACCACGGTAAATGGTAGTGAGGCTTAAATACCTCACCCCATTGTTGATAAAGCTATTGAGAGTTTTTTCAAATTTTGGTTTTTGATCTTCTTTTGTTATTAGTTAGCAGAATATCATGATATTGATTTGTTAATATTGAAGATTATTCCTAAATTGATGCATTGTACCATTTAGACCATTTTTGGAGCTAAGGAGCAAAGTTGGAAAGAAGTTGAGAAAATGTACTAAAACTTCCATCGATCGAAATGGTCTTCAATCGAACGAAATGAAAGCGGTGCTAGCTCAGCCAATGGGATGAACTCTCACCACTTTTCTCGTAAAGGACGCAATAATTGGAGAAATATGGTTATGGTTCTACTACTTCTAATTTTTTTAGTTAGTTAAATATTTTAAAAATAAAAAACAAAAAATAAATAAAGAAAAGACAAGAAAGAATAATAAATAAATAAACCAATAAAATAAATAAATAAAACATCTAATTTTTGTTTTTAAATTAGGAATTCTATCTAAAGGTGAAATAGATGAAGACGTATTACAAAAATGTTACCAGAAACATACAACATACAGAAACATACAGAGAATATTACCATGCGAAGAGTCTGTTTTTATTTATTTATTTATTTATTTATTCTTATCTTACAAGAAACTCGCACATTTTGGCTCTATGGAGTAACCGCTAAACTACCTGCTTAATAGTCTTTTTTAATTTATTTGTTTTGTATATTTTTTTAACAAATTTTCCAATTTATTGAAGTACTTTAATCTTCCTATCCTCTTTGACGAGCTTAGCGTTGCTGTATTCACACTCCTCACAATTATAAGTTTCATATATGTGAGGTAAATCATTCGACTCTCCCACAATGCAAGTCTATTATGATTTATGAAATGACTAAGCCCGTGCCTCGTGGATTAACATTAGATCAAGAGACTGACAATATTTTTTGCTCACACATATAAGACTTATACTTGTAAGAGATAATGTAAATGGCCAGATTAAAACTACAGCTGCCCAAAAAAATGGAACAAAAATCAAACCAGACCAAAGCCAAAGAAGAAAAGGGCAAATCCGAAATAAGATTTAACCACAAGCACAAAATAAGCAAAACCGAAATCATAATAATGGAACTAGCATGATCAGTGGAGAGATCTTAACCCAAACACTTCGATCACCTTGTATAACATACACAAAGGCATGTTCATTTTAATCCCAGAATCACATCTATTTTCTAGGTCCAAACTACCCCCAATAGCATTATACATTGTTGCACAGCCTGCTGAAGCGGATACATTTGGAATGAATGCACGCAAAGGTATACTAGATGGTCGACCACTCGGGGCAAACCTCTGACTCTCTAGCTTGGCCCGGAAAAGTGAAGCTTGAACCAGTAAAGGGTATACTAGATGGTCGACCACTCGGGGCAAACCTCTGACTCTCTAGCTTGGCCCGGAAAAGTGAAGCTTGAACCAGTAAACATCTGATAAAAAGAACCCTCAAAAGGGAAAATAATAATAATGGATATGGCATGGCGTTGAGTATATTAACTACTTCAAGTTGAACAGAGCTGAGAAACGAGCTTCACCACTCCCCACATGGGCGCATCATTCTGCAAGTAACAAAAATGACAAGTTGAAATAGAACAGTATAATTGGACATAATTTTGGAAGCATTAGATCTCCCTCAGAGAAGTAGAACAAAAACATTTTTACTGAATTCTATCATTTAATAAAACAAAAAGAAGAAAATTTAAAGAACAAAACAGACGAGAACAAAACAAAAGGCAGGTTTCCAGGAATGCAAAAACCCTAGGCTTTCTTGCAATAGCTTCGAATGCCTCACAGCATGAGTTGTCCTATGTGCAGTTTTTTCTTTGGTAAGCATCTGTCAAATATTTCCTCAATAAAAGATTATCGCAATATTCGTATGTTGGCAGAAATTCTATGAGCTTATACACTAATTACTCTGCAAAGTTTAAGGGCTTGGTGCTAAATAAATCAACAAGACTGCAAACGATAAAAGATAACCTGACATTGCTACCATTTACACCAGTTCATCTATTTGTGTTCATGATCTTTCTTGGATTGTAATTGTAACATCATTCCAACTGGTTATCACAGTCATGTGGTCAATACCTATTCTTGTAAGCTTCTATAAAAAGAAGGAAACAGGGACACCAGATCTGCTTTATTCTGAAGAATTAAACTCACCAGATGCACAATATCAAAGGCCTTGCGGTAGCTATCAAGAGAACTCTTAATGTTGTCATTCCTGTAACAATAATAATCACACTTGAGAAATTACTCGATAATATTTCCAAGTGAAACCAAATCAATATATAATTACACCCACATAAGCAAGCAAATAGCAACAACTATTTCTCAAACCCAAAAAGTTATAGTTTGAAACTGACTTTTTACAAGGCAGATTTTTGGTCCAATGTGATGAAAAATGCAAAGCTTTTGCTCAGTGTCCAGCTAAAATTGAAATTACACAACTCTTTGGTATCCCCAGACCAATGTGATATCACAGTTTTATGGAAACATGTTAAGCGATAAATTGCAGCATGATGTGTTATTTTGGTAGTATATTTCATTAACCTGTTACGTTTCTAATTATTTTGTCTGATTTTACATTTTTTTATTATTAAATAATCAAAATGACAAAAGACAAATCATCTGGACAATAGCAAAGTAATTGATTTATCTTCTCATGTATTCTAATAGCCTTTGGAAGTAGAATAGTCAACACAGCAGTTTCTTATTGCTGTTGATATGATACTTTTCCTACATAAAAGTTGGTGCATTATGCCTGCTGAATTGATTTTCTAACAGCTATTGTTGAGACAGAATTTGTTGTAGCACAGATCTGTCAAAATCTCAATAGTCTTGAAATTTTACATGATGATTTGATGATCACTTGCCACCTTAGCTATTATTTCCTCAAGTCCTCCCAGGAAAGCAGTTGCTTCTGAAAGTGCATTAAGTAGCATGCTTAGCCATATGTTATATAAATTCTTCTATTCACTAAAGAATTCCATCTCAAATACAACATGATACAAGTATGCAAGATCAATATATTGTTTGCCAAAAAAGCAAATACTACCAGTTAGAAGCATGCACGGCATGCACCTTGAGAAAATAGGAATATCATCAGAGCTTTGAGTCTGCCTCGCTCCATTTTTTTGGCATGTCTGACTTGTATTGGGAAGTGTCTGATGTGTGCTAGCATCCAACACATCAAACAATGTTACAGCAACCTTTTGAGTGCCTTCGTGCCCCCCAAGGAAAATTTCCTCAATTTACTGTCTTATCTTTTAGGCCAATAAGAGCCTGCCATATCCTTTTGGCCTTTTGCCCTTATGAGGCAAAGTTGTTGTTCATTTCTTCTAAACATTAAAGTGGTCTGAGTCGTTAACTAGATCCTACATAGGGTTATCAATAGGTTCTTCTATATACGTATGTACTCATGATTTGCTGAAACAAAAACTTGAAAGACACATCACGAAAAGTGGAACCAGTTCCAGTGTCAAAAGAATGGAAGTCTGACGCAAGGAAATGTGTACACATAACACCTCACCAAACTTGACAGGAAATCATGCAGCAGAAGAAGGGACAAAATAAAAATGCTTCCTATTTTTAAATAAAATAACATTTTAGAAACAGAGATTTCAAAATTGGAAAAAAAGTGACCAAAGGCGAGAAAATATCTAAAAGAGAAAAGTAGTAAATCCTTATTGGAGGCACTGCATATCATTAGATTTTCATTATGAGGGAAAGTTTAAATTTTTGTACACTCCAACTTTTACTGGAGTATATCTTCAATATTGATTCCAGTAACAAGAAATTAGAAAGATTGCAGTACACATCCATCATCATCATCATCCTTGACTAAATCCCAAATGAGTGGGGTCGGCCACATGAATTCTCTGTCCCCACTCTATTCTATTAAATGCCATATCGCTTAATATATTTAACTTTTTGAAGTCATTCTTTAATAATTTTATCCCATGTTATTTTTGGTCGCCCTCTCCTCTTACCTTCTATGACAACTACACTTGCTTGTTTGACCAGCGCATCACTAGGTTTTCAATGTATGTCTCCAAACCTTCTAAGTCTACTCTCCCTAAATTTCTCACCAATGGGTGCCACCCCTAATTTTTCTCCTAGTGTCCCATCTCTTCTAGTCACTCCACTCATCCATCTTTACATTCTCATCTCCGCAACATGAATGTGTAAAATGTTCAGTACACATGCATGTTGCATTCTAAATTTTTAATGTTTCACCTTCAGGCATGGACCTAGTGTATTGTGAGTGGGGGCAATTACCCCACTGAATTTTTTTTTTTTTTTTAGTATTATATATTAGTAATTTTTCCTTGGCTATTACCCCACTGATTTTTTTTTTTTTTTTTAGTATTATATATTAGTAATTTTTCCTTTTTAAAATTATATACCTATAGGATTAGGTTAGTTGTTATAAGATATCCAGATGGAACAATGTAAATGAACAAGCTAAAACAATTCAGAAGATTTTATTGACTTACAGAAACCCTACGGATATTCGTGTTTCATAGTTCAAACCATCAGACATTCCCAAGTCTCCTATGTGATCACCAAGAAGCAGCACATTGGTTCTCTTCTTTACTGAGGTATTATCATCAATTGCCCAGTCAATATCCCCCAATCGATCGTGAATAGGTGCAGCCATATCAAGAGCATGCTCATTCTTATTCAATACATGAATCGTCTTCCCTGCAGCAAGAGCAGGATTCCGTAATGCATGTGTCCGATTAATCTAAATAAAAAGCATACGACATAACAGAATTGCTGACATCAATATGAGATAATGGGATGAAGCTCTCCTGGTTTTGTTTCTAAATGCCTGGTTTAACATTCAATGGAACCAAAATTGAAATTCCAGATGCAGAATCACCAGACAGAAATCCCTATCATTTTTCTTTGTTACTTGATGTAGAGGAGAAATAGAATATAAATTAGCAAGATCAGATGTTTCATTCATCATGCAAGATTACAGTAGTGAAGAACTCCTTCATGCAGGCAGGCAACCACTTGAGGCTTGCCAATTATTTTCACAAGAGAGAGCAACCTACTTTACTTATTGAGGTCTAGCCAAAGATTTGGGAAGTGTACAGAGTGTAGAAGTACCAAGTACACAAGTTTAAACGGTATAATACATCCATTATTCTTTTCTTTTTATCAGGATGCGATCAATACCTTTAAAAGATACTAGGCGACCATGCTGATCAAATACCATACGGTTTGATACAATTTTGACATTCTTAAAGGATCTATGAAGTTTCTGTCTCAGGACCTGGCAAATTTAAGAAGAGGAGGTGTCTTCAGAGCATGAAATAACTGACTGAAAGCTAGATGTCCTGGAATAAAACCAACACAAACCCTGTCAAAACTAACCTCTTCTATGACATCTGCAAGCCCTGCAGAAAATATAAGAACGGGAACATCCCTTTCCTGCAAATTATAGAGAAAAAGGATAATGAGGCTAAACTCCTACCATAACTTTCAGTTATACTTTTTCTTCAGTTGGCTGTGGCTTCTGCACTAAGCCGTTTAAGAAAATCTCTAACCCAAAAAGTGTCAAAGTCACTCAGCAAACTGAACCAAATTTGAAAAAAGGCTGTAAAGTTGATATTAACAGGAAAGTAAAAAGTTTGTACTTAATGGATCAAAAAGTTCTGAATTTTTCAGCATGAGTTTTTTTAAAAACAGATACCTTGATGAGATCATATATTTACCAAATTATATTTTAAACGTTTTAAGTAAGAAAACAACTCATTGTTGCTGTTAATATTAAACCTTTGCATTATTAACTTTAAGGGGGGGAAATATATATATATAACAAAACACTAGAATACCATCATATAAGGTCTTACTTTGCGATAATATGCATGTCTTCCAAAGGCAATACTAAAAGTTGGAAGAAAAAAAAAAGTGCTCGAGTATGAGGAGAAGTTACCTCTAACAACTCAAAAAGTTCAACTACACCCTCCCTAAATGCAATTGTGGAATTCTCCACGGAGTTCTTTATTGCATCATATGTAAGACCACCCTCAATAAGAAGAGAATGGGTTTTTTCCCACCTGCATTTAATTGAATTGGAAATTTTAGTTTCTTAAAACCCAATTGAGGAGAGCCTTGTCAGATTTAAAAAGTGTCCTAGAATGTGTACTGAAGTAACAAAGTGTGGTTCCTGAGGACTTCTACATGGAAAATCATTTCCATCTTGTATGGATGCATATAAGCTACATAATAGGGTAGCACAAAATGTACCCAATTAGCTGGATTTAATGGGGCAAATGACCCTGAATTGTTAATGATCAAATTACGTACCACTCTTCCATGAGCTTTGCTTTCTCGTCAAGTGGAATTGTTGGATTAATTTCCAATGGATGATAATAAACATATAATTCTTCCCTCTTAGCATCATATTCGGGATTCCCCTGTTGCAAAAGCCCATGACTGCCTATAATTTTTATTAGAGAGCATCAAAAACAATTTTGTGAACATATAAATATAAATAGTTCTCTTGAATAGAAAGGAACACCGCAAACTTACTTTGCCCTCGACAACCATCAATCCGGTACTTAGTCAGTGTGGCATCAAAATCTGCAATTACCTAATATTCAAAAAGGAAAATTTTGAAAAATACAGAGATGCAAAAGAGAAGAAACCTGTGCAACACTCGAGTGAAAAATGAGACATTTTACAAAATATAGACGCTTCGACAAAGTATATGTCGGGTAGAACATGGATATGGTAAAGATACATGCATTCACAACCACAAGCATACGACTCATCTCCTCTTCCTTGCCGTCTATTTCCTCTTTTGCTTGAAAAGCTTTATTGCACGATTAAGTATTGTATCTCCGTCATATCAATATAAGATTGTATATATTCCAAAAAAATAATAATAATCTGGTGAATATTTGTCTTGTACAAAACTCAATGTGTATATAACTTTAAACTTTTCTCTTTAATTCTGAAATACTCCAAGTTACATGTTAGAAAGGTCTTAAACAATGAGAAGCAACGTTTCTACTATATTCTATATTGTAAAAGGGCATTGCCAAGTTCTCTTGGGGAGGGAGGACTTGAAGCAAACCTAAACTTTAGTATTTCATAAAGAGGCTGTTCTGAAGCTTGAAATGCACCAGTGACAACTATGCTCAAGCGTCTTATCGCTGAATCTGACAATGGCCCCTTTTATGGTTCAAACATGGTTATGGTCCAACATAATTGGAGTATATCTTAAAGAAGAAGAACTGAGATCAAAAAATACTATGTTGGATTTGGTTCCAAATTCATTTACATGCAATGTAACCCTCATATTCTCATGTTAATTTACATGGTTATGGTTCAACATAATTGGAGTATATCTTAAAGAAGAACAATTGAGATCATAAAATACTATGTTGGATTTGGTTAGAAACTCGAAATAGTTGAGAACATTACAAGTTAGAACATTAGATTCACTAAAAGCGCTAGTTTTTTATAATAAAATATGAATATAATGAGAAAGTTATTTGTTTAGCACACACACGTATATATATACACGTATATATATACACGTGTATATATACATATAAACACATATATAATTGTTTTCCGAAAGTAACATATTTTTCAGCATTTGTAGTATTCGCATACCTATATTATCCAATATTCATATCCTTATCAATCACTATGCTTCACGGTATCCCAGTTATATCTTTTCAAGAATAATTTAAGTGTTCAATAATTCTTAGAGAAGCATTTGAGACAACCACACTGGGGAAAACTACAAGCCAAAATAAGGTCTTTCCTCGCGCTAAATCTCCTTCTCAGGAAATGGAAGAGCATAGGTCGCCACCTTGCACGCTAACCTATGAAGCACGGACACACCTAAAAGGGCAAAGAATCCGTGTCGGACACCGACATGCGCCGGACACGCCAAAATACGTGTCTGATTTTTTTTTTTTTTTTTTAACATTCGGACACGCAGTGGACACACCTCCGACACGCATGTCGCATTCTTAGGGGTTTTTTTTTTTTTTTTATCTTGGGGACTTTTAAGAAAGTTGTGTTGAAGTGTAAGTATGAGGAATTGTTTAACAACTTCCCATAATATGGTAGTCATTACATAATTACTTAACAGTTAATTTTTATGAAACCTTTTTATATTAAAATAATCATATATTTAGGCTTATGTTTTAGTTCAAATATTCAAAATCTTGAACAATCAACTTTGGTTCTCTCTTGTTCTCCCACCGACCAAGCTTCGCTGCCAATGGATGGTCCTCTCTCTCCTCGTCTTCTTCTTATTTTCTTTCTTCACAAACCCTTGACACTTCTTTTTCTCCTTTCACAACAATATTTTACGTTATCTCCATGAATTTCTTCTCTTTTATGGATTCATCATTGTCCGTCTCCCCTTGAACTTCATCCTCATTTGTTTCAAGGGGAGAGCCTAGCCTGAGTTCAAGTTTACGTTTCAAGCTTGGAAAGCTCTCAAAAAGAAAGAAAAAGAAGTCACCAGTGAAGAAATGCAAGAACAATGCACTTCCTTTAGCAAAGCCTCTGTAAAAGGAAAGATGGTAAGGTAACTCGTTCCATCAAAGACAGCTTCAAAGCCAAAGAGGAAGTCTGAAGGGCGTGCCAGCTTTTCTTTCCACTGCAAAGTTCCTCTTAATACTGCTTCAATCGAACTAACGCTCATCCTGCAAATCGTTCAAAGGGGAAGCCTATACTTCAACAACCAAAACAAGAACAGATGCTCAAAGAGAGCTAAAGTTGGGCTTCAAGTTTCTGAGAATTTGTGGAGGTCCATAGGATTTATGGCCCAGTTGGATGGAGACACTTGGTACCAGTGAAGTCAGTCTTCCTGAATTCATCATCTAGCAATTAAACAGAAGTAGACGCATTAACTGGAAAGCATTAACCCAGTCATTTCTTACAGTAATTTCAGGTCAAAATTTCATACAAATAATAAAAATACATTTGACTACTATTCAGAAAATAAAACTGAAGGTCTATATCATATTTCTAATTAGAATTTTATGAACTACGTGTTAACCTCTGGGCCAGTTCCAAATGAAAATAAGGTTGTGTCGTCAGCTGCTCTGCAAAAAATGATTAATTTTTTGCTCAAGGGGCTTGTGAAGATGATCATCAAAGAATCTTGTCACTGGCTTTCTTGTCCCCAATTTTGGACCAAATCTGGATGCACAAGAAAGCCAGTGACAAGTTTCTTTGGTGATCATCATTACAAGATCCTTGAGCAAAAAATTAATCATTATTTGCAGAGCAGCGGACGAGACAACCTTAATTTCATGTGGGAACGGCCCAGAGGTAAATACATAGTTCGTAAAATTCTAATTAGAAATATGATATAGACCTTCAGTTTTATTTTCTGAATAGTAGTCAAATGTATTTTTAATATTTGTAAGAAATTTTGACCTGAAATTACTATAAGAAATGACTGGGCTAATGCTTTCCATTTAATGCGCCTACTTCTGTTTAATTGCTAGATGATGAAACAAATGAGGATGAAGTTTAAGGGGAGACGAACAATGATGACAAACCCCTAATTCTTTTTCTAACTATACCCTAATCCTCTTTCTTTCTTTCTTCCTTTTACCCAGCAAAACACAAAAAAAAATAAAAATAATAATTCATTAGTAGTTTTATAAAAGAATTACTCTTAATTTCTTAAAGTATAACATGATATATATAATATATATTTATTATTCGCCGTGTCCCTACCATATCCGTGTCCTAATTTTGTAGGATTTACCATGTCGCCATGTCCGTGTCGTGTCGTATCCGTGTCCGTGTCCCATATCCGTTTCCATCCTTCTTAGATGCTAACTAAGAAGCACAGGCACTTTCAAGGAAGAAACTTGTCTGCATAGGATACACTTCTTGGATATTTCTGAAAATGAGTCCAATATACTCTAGACGTGTCTGTAATTCAAAAATAAATTTAAATTTGAGATGACTAAAGCTTTTTTGACTCTCACCGACATGTAATTAATGAACCTTGTACATTGATAGGAATTCTTTTAGCATTTAAAAAAAATAATAATAAAAATAGAATTGTATGAATAATCCAATCAAAGATTTATATAAATTTATGATTATTACTCCCTCCGTCCCAATTTAAGTGTCGCTTATGGGGAGTAGTAATTTTTAAGGGGGCATGTGGGACATGCATGGTCTCCTTGGAAAATTACTAACTTGCCCTTTTAAATTTTGAATATTCAAGTTTGAAATTTTAAACTCAAAGGACATATATGGAAAGATGTGAAATATATTATTTGAAAAAGGAAAGTGGACACTTATTTTGGGACAGACAAAAAAGGAAAGTATGACACTTATTTTAGAACAAAGGGAGTATTATTTTTTTTTTTTTCAAGTATAAATTTATGAAATTTTTTAACATAATAAAAATAAAAGCTGTAAAAGGGTTTGTTGAAGGAATGGACATAGGAGTGGTAGAGAATAGAGGACTCACCAATTGGGTAAATATAGATATACATGCACGCACATATCTATATATACACACACAATCACAAACATACATGCCATGTCCTTGTTATGACTTCTGTATATAACAAGGGTGATTATGGTTGTATAATTCATAATTTCGATTTTGCTTTCATGAAGTGATGCTTGTCGTATATGATATGTTTTATTTTATACAAACCTTTTTTTCCCTAGGCAAATTCCATTAAACCAACAACAACAAAAAGAGGGACACACCCTTCTAAGGCAACAGCCTCACAAAACACCATTTCCAAAAACCAGACAACAGAAAAAAGAAATGAAAAAATAAAGGAAAAGGACCAAAACGCAAGACACAATAACACACAACCCAACAACTACAGACAAAGCAACAAAAACAAAGCAACCCCCAGTGGATTTGTCTGAAGTAAATCAGTAAATCACAAAACTGAAGGTCCAAAGATGAAGCAGCCTCAACCACTACTGATCTAGCAGTTTGAGAAGCAGACCAAGGAGTTTCCATCATGCAGAACTTGGTTTCGATTCCACCAAATGTGCCACACACAGAGTGAATAGCACTTTAATCAGCCTTTGCTGCAATCTTATTTTATATATACAAACTATATATTTTATTACTATGTCCATGTCCTACTAAATTGGGAATCGCACAGGCTTGGGTGCCCTTGAGGCTCCATGATTTGATGAGATGGCAAGATCCAAATTTGGTGTTCTTAAATGAAACCTCAAAGATAGAAGGAACTAAGTGGAGGTTGAAAATGCGGAACTTGGTGGTTGTAACAGTGAGGAGCTAAGAGGGGGTTAGCTTTGATGTTGAAAACACATTGAAGGAAATGCTGGTTAGTGACAACACACTCACACAGATGTGGAGATTGAAGGTGACAATGAGACAACAAAGTGGAGATCTAAGGGCTTTTATGAAGAACCTAAAAAAAGGCTAGAGAAGCAATTCACGCATGAACCTGAGAGCTTTGGAGAGGAAATCCTAGCTGCCATGGATATGCATGAGTTAGGGCATATAGAGAAAGATTTCAGATGCCCTATCTACTGCTATCTGGAAGCACACTAGATTTTTGAATTTTGCTTTAAATTCAAGCAGATTATGGGTTTTGAAATTCATGAATTTTGTGTTTTCATAATCATTGAAATATCTTCAGAAAACAAAACTTTTGAATCCTACAAAGACCACGGATCCGAACCAGACATAAGATTCTAATTGTTCATTTTTTATCCAGTATTCTATCAATTTCAGACAAAGCATCATACTTTTAAAGGAAAAAACTCTAATTGTGAACAACCATTATCATCAAAAGGAATGAAACTAGTATTTCCTGTCAAAAAAAAAAAAAAAAACTACAACCAATCACGCAGAAATTTCAGCCAACAGCAATCGGCATCAGCAACATTTTCATTATAGTCAAAATTAAGTGAAATCCCAGTATAAAAATTAAATTTGAATATCAAAGTATGAAAAAGAAACAGAGACTCTGTATATGATAACAAAGCCCAAGGACAATTGTAACATACATCACAAATATGTACAATCGTGAAATCAAGAACAACCCATATCCTCCAAGCAAATGGTATAACTTATTAGGCAAACAAAAATGGTCGTGTATGAGTAAAATTATTGATCACCAAAACACACACATACACACAAATAAGGATCGAGAAGATAGAGAAAATGCGGGAGAGTACCTGGAGTTTTGTGGGACCCCCAAGGCGAATTGCAGCCTTTTTCTGTTCAAGCAACCGAGAATCACCCACTACATCCTCTGACGAATCCTTTGAGGCATCAAATTGCTCCATTTCAGTTTGATTCCTCTTCCTGCTACAGCACCACCAAACCCTACACACAAACACACACATAAATATTGATATATAGGCTCGCATAAAGATAAGCATAGCAAATGAAAGATTTTGTATGATAAAAATGTATAGTTAAATTCAGCTATATATATAGATATATATATATAATCTTATGTATGTATAGATGTATAATGCATTATTATAGAGAGAGGTTACGAACCTGGAAGAGGCGTGAGAGGGAATAGTAAAGCGGGGCTCGCAAATGCTATTCCAACGAACAGGGATGATGTTGTGAAGCCTATAGCTCATGAGAGAGAGAGAGAGAGAGAGAGAGTAGTACTGCTATCTTGATATCAATTATTTAGGCTTTGTTTGGAAACAATTATTTTAGGATTTGAAAAAGGAATCTGAATTAGAATAGGAATTGGAATTAAAATGAATGAGATTTTAAATAAAAATAATATAATACCATTTTTGTCCTTATCTAAATAAAATTAAAGCCAAAATACACAAAAGACTTGAATATGCAGTTTATTACTAACCTGGATATGCTCAACACCTAGAGAAAAAAATATATGTTCAACACTCAAACCAAAGGAATAACCTTATTATGAAGAATCTGATCTCGTCGGTCGACAATACGACACGGTGGCTCGAAATAAGAGGAAAAAATATATATCTATATTATTAATAGATAATGAAGTAGTATGGATTTAGTTAAATAAGAGAATAGGAATGAAAACGTTAGAGATTGAGATATGGTAATAGATATTTAAGATAGGGTTTAATAAGAAGAATTTGGAAGGTAAATTAAGGAAATATTTAATTAAAGAATATATATTCCGTCAAATCCTGTCAAATTCTGACTTTTTAGACTGGATTTAAAACGCAATTAAAGCGTTATTTGAAATCCTATAACTATCAAATCCCTTTTGTAATTCCGTGGTTCCAAACAAGGTAAATCATGTTTTCAAATCCAAATCCCATCAAATCCAGCATTCCCTGTATTTATTGAAAGTGTAAAACCGAAATGTATGCCGATGAGGCTTCTAAGTTTTTTTTTTTTTTAAATGGTAAACCATACACACACCATTTTTGCCCAAGTTCGGGCTCGAACCTTGACTTTGACAAAAATGGAGTGATTACATCAATAGACCAAATTTTAATTTATTTTTTCCTTTGACCTTATACCACAAAAATCATTTAAGTCGGGAGTGCGATATCGAAAAAGAGACTTATCCTCTCTTTTTTTCATTTTTTCTTAGAAAACATGTATCGATCCCATAACAAACGCATCATTCAAATGAGTAGTGTAATTCAAAAACGAGATCTCAAAAACTTGCTTGCTGGATCTCTCCACGCATCTATTACCCTTTAGTTGAGGTTTCAAGTCACAACCAAATGATGCAATAAAGTGAGACATTGGACCCTACTTTGTTCCATCAATCGATTGTAAGAATGTCGATTTTGCATTTCGGTGCAAATTGAATTTTCCATTAATTTATTTTCATTGAAAGGGCACATGTATAAGTAAAAGTTATTTGGTAACTCTTTTACCCAATAATTTTTGGGAATAAAATTCTGTCCTCTCACAATTTTTTTTTTAAGTGAAATTTATCAAAATAGTGTAAACAGAATAAAATTACAAAAAAATGTGATTGGAGATGATTTTGATTTATAATGTTGTGTTTGTTAATAGTTAGATGTGAGCTTTATATAACTTTTTGGTCGAGACAAACTGAATTTTTCACGCATGCAAACTTGAGTATGAGATCTAGTCCATTGTTGAGCCATCTCAAATTTAAGCCTGAGATCAAAAGTTGAAGATGAAAAAAAAAAAAAAAAATCTATACAATCCTTAATTAAGGACTTACATTTACATGTTGTTAATAACTTCGTTCGTGAACACATAAATTGTTCAAGCTTATCTTGTGTAAAAGAGCTTAAGAAGGGAATTTAAATTCGTACCAAACCATTCATAAACAGCTCAATTCTGTGGATTGATTTGCAACACTTCTTTTATATAAAGAAAAATGCTTCTGATGTTGTGTTATGTTTTAAAAGTATCAAACAACTAAGCTCGATATAGTGTTTTGAAATTTAAATACTAAGAAATATAGCAAATATCATGTCAAAATTATTGACTAAATGATATTTTCCTAATGTTCTCCTTTTCCATAATTTTGGACCCTTAGGCTAGAGTTGCAAGTTGGGCTGACCCAACCCAGTCCAGTTCTAACCCAATCTCAACCCGAATTAAGTTAGATTGGGTCAACTCGAATTGTATCTAACCTAAGTTATGGTCAAAACCCTTTGAATATTTTCGGACGGGGCGGGACGGATTGAGATTTTTTTTTCCCCAACAAATTTTTTTTTTTTTTTTCGGAATTTATTCACTACGTATATTATATATATATATACATATGCTCGTGTGCGCTTTACATCCTTGTAATATCGATATAGTGCTTATAACCTCCCATTGTTTGTTACCCTTTCTTACAATTTAAAAATGTTGTTTGTTAACCTTTCTTACAGTTTAAAAATGGTGTGATTAGCTCCTTTTGAGTGTTGACCTCTATTGATCAGTACCGAGCTACAAAAAGACTAAAATAACCCTCTATCTATGATTTAAAAATAATAATAAAATAACATACAATGAGAAAAATAAATTTAAAAAAAAAAAAAAAAAATAGCCCTCTATCAATACGCGGTCGTTTCAAGTTAGGGCATATTCACAGTTTACAAACTTGCACTCTCTTTTGGTCTCTGTAGAGAAAGTAGAGATGAACTAACAATTGTAATGGTTGTTTCTGAAACTTATCTTCATTTCTTTTGGTTCTCTCAATCGGTATCACCACTTTTCAAGTTGAGACAACATCCATCTTGGGAAATTCACACCTCATACCATCTTATATCCAACTTTTTTAGATTTTGGTGCGGTTGCAGTCGTCATAAGAGTCGCCGTAACACCGGAACCAGAGGGTGCGGAAGTTGCGATTGGAGATGGAATTTGATTTCTTGATTTAGGGGGAGAAATTGTTGGACAAACCCAAAAGGTGAGTACAGAGTATATACATCATCTCTGAATATGTGTTTTTAATCGGTACCCATTTCATCATTGCCTCTGATTCGAGTGATATAGTGATGGGTTTTGTTTGTTGATCTTGTTTTGATGATTTTGGAAATTTTCTCAGAAGCTTTGAATATGTGTTTTTAATTAATACCCATTTCATCATTGCTTCTGATTTTGTTTGTTGAACTTGATTTGATGATTTTGGAATCACTCATAAGCTTTGAATATGTGTTTTTAATCAATACTCATAAGCCTTGAATATGGTTTTGATTTTTGATCTTGTTTTGATGATTTAGGAATCGTTGTGTGAAGAAACAAATGAGATCAAGAAATCGTGAGAGAGCAACCGCGTGAGATCGAATCGGATTGCTCTCTGCAAGCTATTCTCTTCGATGTTGATATCTGTATGACCATTATTAGGGCTGACGGTAGTGAATTTGCTGGTGAGATGTGCGAGGTAGGGAGAGAGAGATTAGGGTATTATATACAAATATATATATATTTATATGGTGAAGGGAGTAAAGGAATATAAGAAGGGTAATTTTATGAATAAAGGTTTTTAAAATGGTCATGTGCATGGCACATGACTAATTTGCGTCGAATTTTAATCGAAAAATTCTTAACGGAGGTGCTTAATTACACATTTTTATATCTAATATGAATTTATATAAACAAATTTAACTATAAGGGGTAATTCGCACAGATTTAAAAATTATAGAGGTGTTTTTCAAACTTTTCCCTATAACTCAGCCTAAATATTTTTGAGCAGGTTGACAGGTTAATTTTTTTTTTTTCCCTTAACAATTTTTCTTTTTTTTTTTTAGGAATTTATATATTACGTATATTATATATTTAATTATATTATTATTAAAAAAATAAAATATTTTTAGGGCAAATCATTTCAGCCTCCCAATCGCCCCAACCTATTCTCTCTCCCCTTCCCTCCTCTCTCTCTCTCTCTTTCACTCTCCAACTGCAAACTACAAAATTTACAAGAATCTGAAGTTCAAAACCCATATATTTCAGTTTTATCTAGTTTTTTTTTTTTTTTTGAAAGGTAAGAATCAAAAGTTCAAAACTCATATCGGCATATCATTTCAGATTGTTCAAAAAATTAAAACCTATATCTTTCAGTTTCCATCGCCTGTTGTTCTAGTTCGAGTTCGCTGTTTGCAAACTACAGCCGCTGTCTCTCAACTCTCAAGCTTGCCCCCCCTCTCTCTGTGCAACTGCTAACTTGTATGTATAGGTTATGTTTTAATTTTTTTTTTTTCTAAATCAATTAATCAAGGTTTGTAAGACTGTAATTCTTGTTTTACAAATCAATTAATCATGTTCTGTAAGAGGGGCGTCGGCGACAGCACTGAGGGGACGGCGGCGGAGAGAGAGAGAGAGAGAAAGAGAGAAGAGAGAGGAGAGAGAAAGAAGAATTCTTTTTTATTTTTTCTTTTTTAATTTGGGTTTTAGGTTGGGTTCTGATTGAGCCCAGCCCAACCCGAATATATCTGGGTTTTGACAAAATTCAACCCGAACATGAACTCGATTTGGGAATTTAAAACCCCAATTTCAAATTTTCTGGGTTAGGCTGGGTTAGCCCGCCCAACTAGGAAGCACAGACACTCCAAAATGGGGGAAGAATCCGTATCCGACACGTGTCGGACAGGTTTTTGTGAATGTTAAGTGCTAACAGTAAAGTCCTAAATGTTAAACAGTCATGAACGTTAATAGTCCTTTCTGTCTATACTTTTGTATTTGGAGTAAAGTTGCAATGATGATTAAATGATACTAGTTATTATTCTAATGTCTTGTTTTTTATTTGGTTTTATAACTCTGTAACATTGTTCTTTTATAGTTTATTAGTTATGAGTTATGATTTGTGCTTTTTTTTCATTGTGAGGTTGATGAAAATAACAACAGTCAGTAATTTTTAAACTACTACATCATATACGACACGACATCGACACGGCGACACAGCAAATCCAAAAAAATTAGGACACAGACACGACGGGGACACGGCGAATAGTATACATACATATATATATATATACAAAACAAATGGAAGAGATCGCGTGGGGGTTGAACGGAAGCAATTTCCATTTCTTGTGGGTGATGAAGGAGACCGAGCACCACCCACAAAGAATGGGGAGAAGGGAGGAGGCAGTTTGAACCGAATAACGCACAAACAGCTTTAGTACACACATAGGCCTCAATTATATATATATATATATATATATATATATATATATATATATATATATATATATACTATTCGCCGTGTACCCGTCGTGTCTGTGTCCTAATTTTTTTGGATTTGTTGTGTCGCCGTGTCGATGTCATGTCGTATCCGTATCCCGTATTCGTGTCCGTACTTTTTAGCTGCCTAAGTTGCAGCCCTACTTCAGGCTAATCTGAAGGCCCAAAATTACCATTAAGTCACAACTTGTTAAGGGCCAATTTGGCTAGGCTGCCTGTAGCCTCAAAACGGGCTCTAAGCCTAAAAAATCCTTTGTCAATAATAAAGAGCGCTTGGTAAAATTTCTAAAATTGACTTTTAAAAACTCTAAGTGGTTTAGAAGCCTGAATGACCAAAGCAAATAAAACATGTTTCCTAATCGACTTCCCACAAGGTACACACTTTTTAAAATAATAAATATAAAATTCCAATATTGTCCATTATTTAACCTATTTCCATTTCTGAATTTCATTACAAACTTTTATCTTTCTATTTTTGCATCATCTTCTTCCTTTGTTCTCTACCCAAAAATTTTAAAAAATAATGCTGAGCAAAATTTTACAGAACTTTATTGAAAAAAAATATTGTTGAAAAACAATTCAACAAAGAAAGAACAAAAAGATTGAACAGTTGCAAGAAAAAATAATATTGATTCATATTTGACTTTATTGTCTTAAGAGTTCCAAGATTTATGAACTCTCATCCAAACTTCAATTCTATATATGAATTCTAAATAATTCTTCTTCCTCTCAAAATATATATATATATATATATATATATATATATATATATATACACATATACATATATATATACACACACAATATATATATGTGTGTGTGTGTGTGTGTATAATTTTTTTTTTCTTTTTTGAAGGCTACCCGTTCCTGTTAAAGTGATTTATAGATATAAATAAGAATAAAAATGGAATATTTTTGCTGCCATCTCTCTCTTTCGTTTATTTTTCTTTCGTTTTCTTTTTTCCATCTCTTTCAACTTCTATCATGTAGTCAAGGAAAAAAAAATATTTCTACCATGTAGATTAGGTTAAATTTGTATATCCTGATATTCACTATGCCAATTAATCATTGCTGCATCATAAGCAATTTCACTCCATCATGATTTTTTTTCTTCCCTTCTTTGTACATTCCAATTCAACTCTTTATTATTATTATTCATGGTATTATTCATGGTTTATTAAAGATATAATTGCCAACTTAAATTATGTTAATAGTTAAAAAAGCTTCAAAAAATTTATCCACCAAACAACTTTTTTGTTTTAAATTCTTTTTATCAAAATGCATTCTTCAAAGCCGATTCAATGGAAGGAATTTTAGAAAGTGAAAGCTCCCCCAAACAGAGCCTAAATGTTTTGGGTGTTGTTTATTTTGAAAAATGAAAAATATAAAAGCCATGAAGAGAGAGAGGTGAGAAACGGATGGCACAAACATGGGCCTTCGTTGATGGTCATAAGGAGGCCTGATGAAACTGAAAAGGGCTAGGAGTGAACAAGAAATGGGCCCACCCAAACAGGGATCGATGTTTTGTTGCATTGGCCCATAATGAGAGCAGGAACAAACACAACCTCAAAAACACAGTGAGATTGGTGGGCCTTCACCCTTCAAAAGGAAGAATTAACAAATTCTCATTCTATTTGGTGGCTAAATTTATCCATTTTTTATGGTGTTATTAGTTGGTGACTGAGCTTATTTGCTGCCAAGTTTAAGAAAATTATGTAAATTACACTCACTTATTCTGAATTATAAAAATTACACCAACTTTTCGTGAGGCTTACGGTAAAATAATACAAAAATGAGAATGTTAACATATAGATGATAAGACTGATAGGAGGAGAGATTGGGTTATAAACTAGAAGGTGTGGGGGAAATTAGTTGCGACACTTGTGAGTACTATCACAAGTACCATTGGAAAATTTTGAGAGCGGAATATTCTAATTTTTTGTTATTTAATTTTAGATTTTTCATGTTCATTCCGTCAATCTCTCTCAAAATTATATATATATATATATATATATATATATATATATATATATATATATTATGTTTAGTTATAAACATTTAGTTTTAAAAAATTGTCTTTTATAATTCTCTTAAAATAGTTATATATATATATATATATATATATATATATATATATATTTAAATGTTAGAAACCCAAAAGCACATCTTTGCATGCTAATCAATCCACCAAAGTGCAAAAATAGGACTCCCCTTTGTATCATGCTGCCTTGGCCTTTTCTCATGAGCCCTTCAAAATTCTCAATCATTAAAGTAAATTCTAACAAATACATCTTTCTCAAGCACAAAATTCTACACTAAAGCAAATATTGTCAAATGCCTCTTCAAATAAAGTTAGTTACCGGTACATAAATAATCAATTTAAAGTCTTTGATTGCTTCCAATTGTACAAAATAGATTCAAACTTTCTGCAATGCATTTACCAAACCAAAGAGGGCTCACAAAGCTCCTCAAAGCAAGTTCAACTTATTCTTTTAAATTTTACACATAGTGAATGTGAAAAAAAGCCTAATCTTTTCTCCACAAACCATTATAAAACATCACCAAAATAAATCAAAGAATATCATCAGTAATAATGAAATCACCCCCAAAACATACAAATTGAAGAGCAATAACAAACCATAGGGTGAATAATCATATAAATAATGCCATTTCAGCAGCAAAATGGACATATAACCAACCCATTCTCATTACAGTCTGGGCACTTCTCACACACCCCATCATCATTTGGACCCAATTTTTGGCTACCATTGCAGTTGAAACACATAATAAACCGGACCCCGGCACAGCCGTCACATGGGCCGTCGGACCGGTCGATCGGGACGGCTTCGAAGAGCGGCCGGAGCCTCCCCTGCTCATGTAAAGTCAGTACCTCTTCAGCTCCCCCAATGTACCTCCCCTTAATGAAAAGCCTTGGAGGGACTACTTTTTCGCCCAAGGTCCTCCACAGCTCTTCTCTGAATTCCAAGTGCATAGACACATCTCTTTCATAAAACAATACTCGAAAGCTCTCTAACAGAAACCTAATGCCGTGACAGTCCTCGAACGTCTTCCGAATCCCTCGGAGGCCGGTCGTGTAAAGAATTACTAAGTCGCTACCACCGGGAGGACACTTCTCCTCGAAATCTAATAGAGGGTTGGGAGAAGTCTCCTCCTCCTCCTCGATTAACGGGTCCCACACTGGGTAATGACCTTCTGTGTCATCGTCTATTCGACGAGCTTTTAGAGGCGGCCCTTCTTCCATACTTTCTTGAATTTGTTTCTCTTTTATGGCTCTCCTCTCTGCTTCCAAAGCCCTAATCTCCCTAACTGCCTGCTCAAATGCAGCCAGTAGGTTCGGGTCGAAAAGGCTGCCGGAATTCAAGACCGGCCGCCGGAAAGATGACACGTCGATCTCCGATAAAGGGGTTTGTTTATTTTCACCGGCTCGAGAGTCTGACAATCTAGAGGCTTCTGAATTTTCCTTCAATGAGCTTGAATTTGCTGAATCATTCTTTGAATCAACTGGGATTTTGACATTTGGCATATTAGTCTTTGGCCTAGTGTTCTCTTTGTCGTGGTCGTCGAACTCCATTTCTTCGTCTTCAAGGTCTCTCATTAGCTCCAATACATCGATAACCTCCGGTTCTTGCACTTTGAAGCTGCTCTGATGGAGTTTCTTTGGCTCTTCTTCTTCAATCACCAACTGGGACTGAACATTGAAATTAGATTCCATCGACGAAGAATGGACAAAACCATCTGAGGCACTCACCTGAAGGACTCGATCTGGCTTCAGATACCCAATTGGTCGAATCGATTTCAACTTCTTCAGTAACTTACCTTTCACTCCCCTCATGTTTTCTTTTTTAGTGAGTTCTGTACACAAAATCTGATTGGTTGAGCAAATATATGCAGTGATATAGGAAGGTTTAGAGAGAGAAAATTCAGGTGTGAATTGGGTTTAAGGAGAGAGAATTAGAGGGGCAAGGTGGGGGCATAATTCTATCTGCTTTTAGGCGTTGCTCGGATGGACAGAGTGCTGTTTTCAAGCTAACGGCTAGTTTAAAGTTTGTAAGGAATTTTAAATTTTGAAAATGATAAAGTGGGAGGAGGTCTATTGAGAGCTGTGGGGCTGATGAAGGATTGCTTGAATCCACTGGAGTTGACACATGAAAAGGCGTTGTACACTCCTGAGGTGGTTGAATTTTATTGGTCATATGGATAACCGTTGACTTGTTTGACTTTGTTATTGTCGTTTATTGTTGTCTTTTCAAAATTAGGATTTTTACATAGACACCTGTGTTTGGGGCAAGGAGAAGCAAATGAAAGTTTGGTTATTTTTAGACAATCACATCTTCTTGTTAAATTTGCCATCCAAACAGACCTTAAAATATGTGAAAAGTTCAGTTTATCCTTTTTTATTTTATTAATTTAAATTATAAAATTTTAAAATACTTAACGGACCAAATTACCCTTATATATATATATACCCCCACACAACAGTGACCACCGGCACCAACAACAGATCCACTGATCGTCAATCTATTCAAAACGACGCCATTGGGAGTCGATGACGGAGACTCTCCCGGAGCTGAAGAGAACGACGGAGGCACGGCAATACCGGAGGGAGACGAAGCAGGAGCGTCGGAGGTTGGGGGAGCAGGTGGAGAAGCAATCAGAGAGGTCGGGGCAGTACCGCCTGCGGCGAAGAAGACGACAGCGAGGACGACAAGCCGAAACGCCACACCCGACTTTTCGGTCTTGAATTAGTTCAGAGGTCCCGTTATTGATCAGGCGATAGATGTTGGGCATCGAGGTCTTGAATTGGTACCCAAATCGAAACCCAATTGATGAAATCAGAAGAACAACTGGGTTGTTGGTGAGAGGAGGAGCAAAATTTTCAATTGATTCAGAGGTTTGATTGGGGTGGGATTGAGATTGAGATTCACCAAGTCGGCTCCCTTCGCCGGAACCTTTTATGCATAATGAAGAGCATGGACTGAACCGGTAAAATACTACCCGGCGATGGCTTCACAGAGAGCATGGACTGAATATACCGGCGGTGAAGCTAGACTGACCGGCGAGGAGCGGGCCACGACGGTCGGCAGAGCTCTCTGCCATGGAATAGCCGGAGCTCTGTAGAAGATCATGCGTAGGCGAGGAGTGGGCCACGGCCGTCGGCGGAGCTCTCTGCCATGGACTCGTCGAAGCTCTGTACAAGAATCATACGCCGGCGAGGAGCAGGCCACAGATTATTATGTGTATATACAGATTAGAGTCAAAACCATTATGTGTATAAGCTATATTTTGGCACCATAACTTCTCCAAATTCAATCCACAAGTCTGAAACTGCTCCGTCGGTCGGAGACACACAAGTCTGAAACTGCTCAAAACCATTAGAGTCATCGACAATTCTGGGAAAATTATTTAACAATTTGAATGGGAAATCAGAACCATTATTAGTAAAGAATGATATGGGCATTAAATCAATACCCATTATAAAGCAAAACTCTGTTTTTCTTCATTATTTATTTGAAATTCTTTCTTCTATAATTTAATTTTGCAATAAACAAAAAAAATAAGTTGATATATATTGGTTTATAATTGAGACCAGACCAATAATATGTATACTCCGTATATATAAACACACATTTTGGGTGTAATCCGAGAATGAATTATTCCAGAAGATTTACATATATACCAATAAGGAAAGAAAGAAAATTAAAAAAGAAAAAAATAAATAACAAATTATATTTGTTAATGAGAAATTTTAAAGATGGAAAAATTTTTCTTGACTATTAGTTTCAATGGTTAAAAAAAAGAAAAAAAAAGGATATGATAAATTTCGTTTAAAGAAAAAATAGAAAATTCTCTTTACTTTCTAATATATATTACTTATGATCATATTTTAGCAACCACCGAACAAACTGGGCACAAATTCTCATCCCGAATCAACTCATCGGTCGGAGACACACAAGTCTGAAACTGCTCCGCTGAAAGAAGCTATATTTTGGCACCATAACTCCTTCAAATTCAATCCACAATGGTCCCTCTTCTCCCCATAAGCGCACCAATCTGTCCCACCACCGCAACCCTCTCAAAAACATTAACCAAAGCCTCCTGAGATTAACCATAGCACTCCTCTTCTTGTGTGATCTTCTTGTAAATAGCTGGATAGCCGATGATGTTTACACGCTCGAGGCAACGGGTTATCATAACTTTGACTCTAATTTTGGCTCTGATTTCGCATTCAAATTGTTTAATAATTTTCCCGGAATTGCCGATGACTCTAATCATACGTCGGCAGGTTCCCTTCCGTTGATTATATGTGTATATACAGATTATTTGAGAGGTATATATATATAGAGGTTAAAAATGTAATTTCAATATTCAATTTGGTCAATATAAAAGTTAAAGGGCAAAAATGTCAATTCATTACTATCGGGGTGTTTTTAGTAACTGTATCAAACTTGAGGGGGTGTATTTGTTCCAAAATAGGCTAACTTTCATCTGTTTGTCCTTACCCCAAACTTGAGGGGCTGTCTCTGTATTTTACTTTTTTTTTTTTTTTTTTTTTAACAAGGCAAGAAGGGTTAGAAGTTAGATTAATAGGTGCAAAGAGTTAAAGCCTGGCACTCCCAAAATTTAGGAGAGACACTAATCACTAGACTATCGAAGCATCTGCTTTCAAAATTAAGATTTAGGAGTAAGCTCTTTAACATAGACTCGGGACTAGAAATATGAATTTATGAGGAAAAGTATTTTCCCTTAAAAAAAATAATGCCCTTGAGTATTTTTTATCTTCAATTCAACATAAATGCGTTGTATTTTTAATTTAATGGCATTGCATCTCAATGTAATATTTTAAACGAATGTTACACCTTAAATTAAATGTGTTTCACGAGTGTAATATTTTAGTTGCATGGATGTTGTTTTTTATTTTTTATTTTTGTGAATGGTGTAGTAAAAATTAAGAGGTTGCAAATTAAAACATGACATGTCAACACAACTCGAACATGACACGATATATGTGAGTTTGCGCTGATCTTAAACGGGCTCGGGTCATAAACGGATTAACTTAACATGTTATAATTGTAAATATGACCTATGTAATATATTACCTATTTAAATCCAATTACAGTAGATACTTAGGTCATTTAAACATAAATCTTGTGTATTTCTTATAAGTTTTCTTTTTATTTTAAATATTTAAATTAATTGTGACAATTTTTTTATATCATTTATTATTTAATTAAATATTAAATATCAAGTCGTTAAAAAAGTCGAATTTGAATTTATCCGTTTAGTATAATATTATAACCCAAGAATAGGAATTACCAACCCCAAGTAAAATTGTCACTCCTAAATAAAGAAATGGGTGCGGGGGCACAAAAGTCATCATATGTTTAGGGGCCTATATCATCATCCTCTCCAAAGAGGCTATGCATCTTCCCCATTTATAGATTGTGGAGGGTGAACTAAGGAGATTCCTCTTTTTTGGACTTTGTGGGTTCTTTAGGAGTTTTTTATTTTGTTTTTTTGCATATGCAATTTACAATTTTCAATACATGATACATTCCTGAATCAAGTCGTCCATGCCCATTTTCAAAGGCTCAATAAAAACAAAAACGTTTGAATATAAATTGTGCTCATGGAATCCTCCTAATAACAAAACAAAATCATTCGTTCAAATAAAAAGAAACAAGAAAAGTGATAGCGACAACTGACAATCCAAATAAAAATTGATAGCCTCTTAACGTGTTCTGCAAATGGTCAATGGCTAAGACCTTGCGTGCATTATCAGTTCAATCCAGAAAAAGAGGAATTCCAACCAATCTAAAGCCCTATAACAGGATATAACATTACAGACAATATTATTGTCTCGAGAAGTCTATAGAACTTCTATCCCACCTGACATTGACGGACATCTCCGGTAAGACCATCACTGCTGAGCACACTGGACTCTCTGGGCACCACCGTGCATGTCATCGTCTTCATCGTACGCCTCTTGGGCGGCCTGCTGCTTACGGCGCATCTCATCCTCTATGTTGACATCATGTAGAGTGGTCTCCTCACATTCATCCAACTCCATATCCGTCATCTGCATTGAAGGCTTAGGAGGCAGCACAGCCTCAATAGCCTTGCACTGCTCTGGAGTCAGGGACTCTGGGAAATCCACTGTGAAGTGAATATACAGTTTGCCTCTCATGAATGGCCTCTGGTACATCGGCATTCCTTCATCATTTATTGCCTTGAACTGGTCTGTTTGCACACAACAATCAATGCAATGAATGACTACATATTCAAAGAAAAAGGAAAGAAAGAACTACCAGACACACATCAACAAGTTCAGAATTCAAGAATCATTAGTCCTCCCAAATACAAAATGACAGTACATATATAGTTAAGCACAAAGTTGAGTACAATAACAAGAATTTGTCGGCAATATTGAAACATTTTCCTTCATCATTGAAACCAATCCAATCAAATAATCGATCAAGATACTAATCTCTTTTGTTTGGGCTACTTGCTGAAAGAAAGTCCCCGCTTTCTCTTTTAACATTTATCTGATTGTGAATTTTTATTTTAAATAGTTAAAAAATGCTTTGCAGGTAGAGTATCTGAACTCATAGTGCCATTTAGCTTTTGACCCTAACCTCAGTCAAACCACATGCTATAATATTTTTAATTATCTCAAAAAACCCACATTAAATTTAGTTCTGCCTATATTCGACAGTTCACATTTATCTCCACATGCGCAATCCAGCCAAGCTCATTTTAAGCATGATAAAATGATTGTTTTATATTAGTACTTTCAATTTAAAAACTATACATCAATCACACAACAAAACAATTTTACCATTTGAATTTCAACTCCAATTTGTAGTTAACTTGAACAAGGAACACGTAAAACAGAGAGGGTAATGGAATGGAAGGACCACATGTAAAAAAAAACGTTTGCTAACATTCTAAGAATTATGCAGGAAATTTCATTTCAATAACAATAAAACATGAAAGGCCTACAACATGCATTATGATTAATCAATATCAAACCAACTCACTTTGGTGAGATTGTGTCGTAAAAGTTAAAGACCTTTTCAGAATACATATATTAGATTCATCAAAAACTTACCAGGCTTGACAACTTCTCCAGGTTGCAATTTAATGAGGAGTTGCCTATTATCCAGATGGGTCAGTATAAATTGGAAGCCACAGAGTGCTTCAGTCAAGCTTAAAGAATGCTCGACAAATAGGTCATCACCCTTTCGCTTGAACTTCGGATGATCTTTCTGTTGTAGAACAAAAACTATGTCACCTGTGACTGTGTCAGGCTGCAAAAAGATTAAACTTGATTAAATCATCCGCAACATAATCTAAATTCAGACAGAAGAAACAGCAAAAGATTATTTGGCTTACCGCCTCATCAGCCTCCCCAGGGAATGTAATCTTCTGTCCATTTTGCATCCCCTTCTCCACAATCACTTCCAATACTTTCTTCTCCTGTACAACCTTCTCACCCTTGCACTGTGGGCAGCGATCTTTGTCATTAATGGTTTCACCAGTACCTTTGCACTCATTGCAAGGATGCTGCATCTGCTGGATCATAGATGGACCAAGATGTCTAATGGATACTTTCATTCCAGACCCTTGACAGCCAGAACATTTCATTGAAGCACCCGATTTGGACCCTTTACTGCAAATCATTGTACAACCCTTCAAGTTAGAGAATTTAAGGACAAACAACAGGTGGAAAGCATATAACAGACATATTCCAGTACTCACCCCTTGCACTTGGAGCAGATTACATTACGTGAAAGGGAGAGCTTTTTGGATGTCCCACTGTAGAGATCATCTAGAGAAACCTTGAGGGGATGCACCACATCCTCTCCCCTTCTTTGCCTTCGGCCCCTGCTGCTTCCACCACCTGTACACAAAGTATTCAATAAAAAAATGCGAAACATTATTCTCTTTTTTTTCACAATTAATGTATAAAGTTGTGTTCACTTATGAAATAAAATATGTACGAAGTGAAATGAAAAATATATTATATATATCTATATATTTGTGTAAAGTCGTGCTCTTACCACCAAACGGGCTACCACCAAAAAAGGATTGGAAGATATCAAATGGATCATGCATACCACCTCCACCACCCATTCCTTCCTTGAGAGCATCCTCACCATACTGATCATAAAGTTCACGCTTCTCTGGGTCACTCAGAACCTCATAAGCTTGGGCCAGCTCCTTAAACTAAAAAATCACACACAATTCCAAACTAAAAATCACATACAATGCCGAAGGCTACAATACATTCTATACTTTATAAAAGCAATAATAAACAAGTTGCACCATCCCTGCTATCACAACAAAAAAAAATAAAAAACTATTCTTACAACTACATACTTCGTTAGGAAGACGATATTGAGGAAAATTATGGAAATGTCACAGTAATTCAAAATTCCAGAAACAAGGTCAAATCAACTCATTATTATACAGACTTCACATGTAATTTCATGTGAACAATTGACACAAAAGAAAACCCAGGTCCTGCAAAGTCAACATACCACAGATATAATTGTATAGGCAGCAAAGAAAGTCTAAGCATTTAAAAGATCCCAAAAAAAAAAAAAAAAACAATATATGATGATCACAATTTTCGTAAAACTGAAAAATCAAAACCCCCAATTCAACAATAAGATAGCCTAATCCCTTTTAAGTTACCCAACATCTTTTATACGTAAATTTACATCTATATACACATATATTGATTGAAGGAACTGATCTACGAACAAAATTTAGGGAGATCAAGAATTTACCTTCTCAGGATCACCGCCTTTGTCAGGATGATTCTTGATCGCCGCCTTTCGATAGGCCTTCTTCAGATCATCCTGCGAAGCGGTCTTCGACACTCCGAGGATTTCATAGTACTTTGTGTTATCGCTCTTCTTGGGAGCTCTCCCAAACATCTTCGATTACCGATCGATCTACAAAACAAAAACGATACCAAAGATCAAACAATCAATCAATCAATCCTGACGAATCAAGGTCAACTGAAGCTCGATGTATGTAGAGAGAGAAGAGAAGAACCAACCTGTGGAAGGACAAACCCTAGAAAGAGAGAGATTGGAGGAGAGAGAAGCGAATGATGCGATTACTTGTGTGTTTGTGAGAGGGAAAGAGAGCGCGAGCAAAGGAAGCTCGAGGCGAAAGAGGGGTTGGCTTGGTATCAGATGTGTGTTTTTATTGGGGAAAAGATGGACGGTGGAGATTTGTTGGGTCCGACAATTTCGACAAAAGAAGCCTCTAGAATTTCTCTACAATTTTTACTAGTCTTCTCAGTAATCTCCACCTAGTAATGTATCTCTCTCACACACACTTAAGACACACACACACTCTCTCTCTCTCTCTCTCTCTCTCTCAAAACACGGAATTAATTGCATAACAAAAACATATATACATTTGTTTTTTTTTTTTTTTGCCATTAAATAAACGAAAAAAGAGAAAAAAAATTGCAAAATATTTCTTTTAATATAAGACATTATCTAGTTACTTAATTGGCAAAGTATCTAATCTTTCGACTAGATGTACCTGTGTTAGAAACCTCCTCCCTTTTATTTATGAGGATAATAATAATAATAATAAAGATTAATTACAAAAAAGTCTTTAAATTATACTTAAAAAATTTATTTATTTATTATTTTTATTATTATTATTTTTTTTTTGATAAAAAAACTCACACACACCACTTTACTTCTTTGAATACTCAAACTTTTAAAAAAAAACACGTCCAAGTCACTATATAAAATTTGCAATATAGTTCAAAATATTTTATACATTTAATCTAAAAGTGGATTTAATAAATTTCAACACACATTTAAAAGCCACCTCACAAGATTTAGGCTGCTGGCCTATTTTTCAATAGGCCACATGAATTTCTTTTTTCTTTTTTTTTTTATCTTTCCTACCATTACCAATCCCTTTAATAATATTTTACTTTTAGAACCAGATGGCTTGGTATCAGATGTGTGTTTTTATTGGGGAAAAGATGGACGGTGGAGATTTGTTGGGTCCGACAATTTCGACAAAAGAAGCCTCTAGAATTTCTCTACAATTTTACTAGTCTTCTCAGTAATCTCCCACCTAGTAATGTCTCTCTCTCTCTCTCTCTCTCTCTCTCTCACACACGCACACTCTCTCTCTCTCTCTCTCCAAAAACACGGAATTAATTGCATAACAAAAACATATATACATATATATATATATATATATATTTTTTTTTTTTTTTTTTTGCCATTAAATAAACAAAAAAAAAAGAGAAAAAAAATTGCAAAATATTTCTTTTAGCCAAGTTCTAGTAAGAAATCACCTCTAAGACATTATCCAGTGACTTAATTAGCAGAGTACTTAATCTTTCAAGTAGATGTATCTGTGTTGGAAACCTTCTTCCCCTTTAATTTATCAAGATAAAAATAATAATAATAATAATAAAAAGTAATTACATTAAAGTCTTTAAACTATATTTAAAATATTTATTTATTTATTTTTATTATTATTATTTTTTTTTGTCATTGAAAAAAAACTCACACATACCACTTTACTTGTTTGAAGCTTCAAACTTTCATGGCGCCCTTTAAAAGGCAAAGGAAAAACACGTCCAAGCCATTTGGTAATTATATAAAATTAGCAATGGTTCAAAATATTTTATGCATTTAATCTAAAAGTGGATTTAATAAATTTCAACACTTATTTAAAAGCCACCTCACAAGATTTAGGCTGCTGGCCTATTTTTCAATAGGCCACATGAATTTTTTTTTTCTTTTTTTTTTTATCTTTCCTACCATTACCAATCTCTTTAATAATATTTTACCTTTAGAACCATTTTAAATAATTTAATCTCATAATAATTTTGGTTGTATTCTATGTCTTATACTGAAATAAATCCTAATCTCTCTTTATATACTCTACATTAGTAGGTCTCACTTATGTATGTTTTTAAAATAAAGCCTCTAATTTCTCCATCAGGAATTGATTAGTAACCCTATTTATTTTAGTCACTCATATTACTTATCTATTTTTATAATAAATTTGTTTTTCTTATTTATTTTACAAAATCCTACACCGTATCCCATATAAAACAGTTAGGCTTGATAAACATATAATTTATCTTGTTGTTCAGGGGTTTTTTGTGCAATTAATTCTATTACTGGGTGGTGACATTAAAATTTCGCTTGAAGGTTTAGGTTAGCTCAACAGCTTTTCCCCTTGAAGTACACTAGTAAGTGGTGGCTTATGTTTATTGTAATTATTAGCACCGTTGGTAATCGCAGTATCGATTGTGATAATGATGGGATGCCCATCACGTATGGCCGATATGACAAACTATAATTATTAGTAAATTGTATTTTTTTTTTTATCTTTTTCAATATTTTTTGAATTTCAAAGGGGCATTATCAATCATGTAAAAAGTCGAACAAATGGAGAAAAAGAGCCGGCTATCAGAATCGAACACCTATGAGCTAAGCGGGCTTACATAATAGAAATTGTACATGGATGAGAATTCAATCAACTATTGGAATCTTAGCAATTAACTATGATTTTCATTCTTAGCTATTCATATTAATATGAATATAAAATTTTCAATCAATATTGAATATTTATACTATCAAATGATAGTTTATATCTATAAATATTAATAATAATTACATATGTAACTATTAACTAATTTAATCAATTATATATTTCTATATTACTATTTTCGAGTTACAGCAATCGGGCCTGCTATTAGTAAAATTAATCAAGCGCAAAACAGGGTTTCATTAAATTAATTCACTAAGTATATATAATATTGTTGTGGTCAGATGATTTTTATTAAATTAATTCATCAAGTATTTAATAGATCAAAATTATTTAATAATTTCTCCCAAAACAAACTCAATTGCACAATTAAAGCTTGAACCAGATAGGCCCGAACTTGTCCTACACTCGGCCAAATTTCTGGTCTGAAGCCTGCCGGCATGGCCCTAATTTTTAGGGGCTGGGCCATCCTTGCCCGATCCTTGTAGCATTCTAATTAGACCAATGGTATGGCCGGAGTCCGAAACTTCGAATCCCACAAACAAGCATATAGGGTGGTAAGTTTCAATAATTATAATTTTTGCTTTTGAAAGTGAGAAAATAAGTTCAATAATTATAATTTTTACTTTTGTTTTCTATATTACAAATACTTGTAATTTTTTGGGTTCTAGACTTCTAACATATCCAAACTGAAAACATTATAAATTTCTCACTTATGCAAAGGATGTCATGAATTTGTCGCATCAATTTGACAGCATCAATTTGACAATATCCGACATTGGTTATTGTCATCTTTTAAAATGACAAGAAAAATCAGAGATGCAGATTTAGGTTTCAGTTGGAGGTAAAATAAAAATCATTTAAGCATATCATACACATAATGTTTAGCTATAATGACTCGTGAATGGACTTAGGCAACCCGTAGCAGGCTAGCCAAAGCCTTGTTTTGACGATTTGGGAGCCCAAAACCAATGCAGCGGGCTAGTGGAAATGGGCGGGGCCCACTTTGGCTCGCTAAATACCGCGAGGCCTAGCCCGATCGTGCTATTTTTTATTTTTTTTTATTTTGCAAAAAGGTGCCGTTTTGCCTGAGCCCTTGTTTTTTTTTTTTTTTTTTTGTCAAACGGTCATTAAGGCAAAATGTTTTTTTAAAAACCAAAAATAGGTTATTTTGAGCTCATTTTTAAAAAATAAATAAATAAATAAAATTCATTAAATAAAAAATATATTATTTAGGCATTGTTTGTCCAAAAAAAAAAATATTTGGGCCAAAAATAAATTTAAATTTTTTTTTTTTTTTGTTTTTCCCCCTTAAAATTTGTTTCTTTTAAAAAAAATTTTACTTTAAATTTGAAATGTGTACCACAAATAGTGTATTTGGCCATTAAGGCACTGTTTGGCTGACACAAACAGTGCCTTAACGGCTAATTTAAATATATATATATATATATATATATATATATATATATATATATATATCTAATAGACCAGAATTATTTTTATTAATCCACTAAGTATATATAATACTATTGTGATCAAATGATTTTTATTAAATTAATTAACCAAATATCTAATAGACCAGAATTATTTAATAATTTCTCCCAAAACAAACTCAATTGCACAATTAAAGCTTGAACCGGCTAGGCCCGAACCTGTCCTAGACTCGGCCAAATTTCTGGTCTGAAGCCTGCCGGCATGGCCCTAATTTTTAGAGGTTGGGCCATTCTTGCCTGATCCTTGTAGCATTCTAATTAGACCAATGGTATGGAGTCCGAGACTTCGAATCCCAAACAAGCATATAGGGTGGTAAGTTTCAATAATTATAATTTTTGCTTTTGAAAGTGAGAAAATAAGTTCAATAATTATAATTTTTACTTTTGTTTTCTATATTAGAAATACTTGTAATTTTTTCGGTTCTATACTACTAACATATCCAAACTGAAAACATTCTAAATTTCTCACTTATGCAAAGGATGCCATGAATTTGTCGCATCAATTTGACAATATCCGAAATAGGTTATTGGCATCTTTTAAAATGACAAGAAAAAGCAGAGATGCGGATTTAGGCTTCGGTTAGAGGTAAAATAAAAATCATTTAAGCATATCATAATACACATATGTTTAGCTATAATGACTTGTGAATGGACTTAGGCCATTCGCAGCGGGCTAGCCAAAGCCCTGTTTTGATGATTTGGGAGTCCAAAACCCATATAGCGGGCTAGCGGAAATGGGCGGGGCCCACTTTGGCTCACGGAATAATGCGTGGCCAAGCTCGATCGTGCTATTTTTTTTTTTTTTTTTTTGCTTTTTCCTTTTGCAAAACGATGCCGTTTTGCCTGAGCCCTTTTTTTTTTTTTTCTTTTTTTTCTTTTTTTTTTTCAAACGGTCATGAATAGTGCCTTAAGGAGGCATTGTTAGGCAAAATGTTTTTTTTAAAAAAAAAAAAAAAACCCCTAAAAATAGGTTATTTTGAGCTCATTTTTATAAAAAAAAAAAAAAAAATTTAAATAAAATTCATTAAATAAAAAATATATTATTTAGGCACTGTTTGTCCAAAAAAAACTTTATTTGGGCCAAAAATAAATTTAAAAACTTTTTTTTTTTTTGTTTTTTCTCCTTAAATTTGTTTTTTTTTTTTAAAAAAAAAAAATTGCTTTAAATTTTAAATGTGTACCAC